TCAACGTTCTTTTGGAACCAAACAAGTGTTCCTTTTGGGGTTAACCATGGTCATCTACAATGAACCCGTGACCTCAAAACGATATTTTTTTTTTACTTTGGTAACGCCATACAGAAAAATGTGAACCTTTTTTTTACAAATATAAACCGTTCTCTTGGTAGAGCACACATACCGTCAGTTTTAGTGGATATGTAACATGTAAGAAAGCCACTACCGTCATCATGGGTGACCTCGAGGATTGTAAGTCTTGTTTGTACCGGTATTATTCACAAGTTTGACGTATCCAATAGGCGTGTCATGCATGGCAACATGTTAATATACATGTAAACACTCCCTAAAATCGTTCAAATTACTTTTGATTAATATCTATTTACAGATTTCTGCTTTAGATAGCAAAATTCACACAAAATTGAACAAAGCCAGTTGAATACTAAAATTTGAGATGAAGAAAATTGCGTGTAATATTTTATTTTGACGAGTAATTTCCTTTCCAATAACGTTTGAGTTTTACCCGTACCTCCAGCTTCCCACTGGGCTCCCTCAGGGCCACGTTAAGAACACGATACATTCCGGGTGATGCGACATTTACAATAGCGACCGGCCGCTGTGACGAAACTCCTTCGACATACTGCATGGGTGTTAGCTAGCGATATATATTAGTAGGTAACACTCAGTCTTTAACCTTTTTTTTTTATCTGGATACAAACGTCTGGGTTGACTTTGTTAAATTAAAAAAAAAAACATAGCTCTTAGTTTTTTGCCATTTTTAAGTTACTTCTCACAACCTTTTATGTTTGATTATGACAGATTAATTTTTCTTGTTGTGAGTAGTGACCATGGTAGTTTAGCGATCGTGGTTGGAGATAGTTTCTTCGGGGCTGCAGGAGATCTTCCCCGCATACACAGCTAGGTTGCATCCGTAGGTTTTCACAACCTGAGGTTGATTTGCCCCACCACCACCAATCTCTCGGGGGGACGTAGCTGTGTCGGGCGGGGAAGAGCTCCTTTAGCCCCGAAGAAAACCCGCCCCCAACACGATCGCTTGGATACCAGGCTATGACCATAGTGATTCCAAACATTATGGATATATGCGGGGTCAAAGAGAGGACAACACTTTCGCCTTGTGGTAAAGATAATAAATAACACCAGTCACGCTACACTGTCATCTGTCTTCTATTGTTGAAACAGTCGATTAAACCCGGCTGAGGTGAAGTTTCACTGTCCCAGTTTGAAAATTATTATCCAGCAGGGGTATCTAACAAAAGATTAATAAATCATACTTGTACATGAAAATTATTTGGTATAATATAGACCTTGGTTTGGTTTTGACAATAAGTTAGTGGGCGACGCCCACCTGCACAAAACTTCCCAAAACAAAGCTTCTTTGTCATCCATGACCAAAATAACAGATAAATTACAAACATGTTACATCCGTGACTTGCCTTCGACGAAATATTTTCATCGTCAATGTATAGGTAGTAGACCTTTTTTCTATACTTTTAGCGCTCTACTGATCAGTTAAACATGGCTGCAGCTGGCAACGATGAATATTCATTGTTTTTTGCGTCCGTCATATTTATGTTTACTAGTTTACTAGGATTCTTCAATAACGTGTTTAAATGTTAATGGGAGTCTCTTAAAATACGATTATAATCTCTAGATGATTGCGGTATAACGGTGTTAGTGTGAGGGACTTTCATCACTTCTTTTACCATGTTTTCTCCTAGACGCCCCCTGATAGTAATCAATAAGACACCATCTACAGATTTTAGAAGGGACATTAAAACGAATACAAAACATACCTTAAATCAAGAACATTAACGGTAACATTTGTTTCTTTTTAATATAAGATATGGCGAAACATATATTTTTTCCTATCCTACTGTCCCTACTTTTCCATATTGAAAATTTTGCCGTATCGTTTCGAAAGTTGAGGAAATATTAATATGGCATAGTTTAATTTTAAATCGTCACACTTTTACTTTAACAGTAACTCGTTAGATGCAACATTGACCTAACCAATCCTATGTGCACGATGTAGGTCCTTTTTTTTTATTTTGTTTTGTTTTGTTTTGTTTTAGTTACCTGGTGACGGTGTCCCAGCTATTTGCTCCCCTCCCACATGGAAGTTCTGTTTTACAGCGGTTAGTAAGTAACAGACAATGTCAAAAATAAATCTTCTTTATTTCTGATGCAATCCTAATTTTACCTACACTACTGCTATATTGGTAGGTAAGTGGCCGTGCGTGACCTGTCAGTGTGAAACTCTTTTCATCGTCAAGGTGGGGTCAATAACGGTTTTTTCTGTGACTAGTTGAAAATCCGGTTTTTAATTAACAACAGCAAAAAATATTCCAATGAGAAAAAGTATCTAAGAAACCACTGAAAAGTGAATACAAAACCCATGTGGTCATTGCTGGACTGGCCAATTAGTACAGAGGTGGAATTCAGACGTTATATCATATTCTCTTGGTCTTGGCTTCCCCCTACTCATAAAGAAGCCGGAGTTGATCTCTTAAATATTGCACCCGAGACACAAAACCTGGAATATTCTACTTTGCAGGACATTTAAGGCGATAATTTGAAGTTTATGATGAAGAAAATTAGTTTCAAGTTTTGTTTTTTCAAGTTTTGTTTTCGATAGCTTTAAAATGTGTTTCGAACGAAGCTTCATTTACTCCTTGCCTAATCGAAAAATTCCATTCTGCCTTTTTTCTTCAGGTATCTTTTAAATTAGTAGCTGTTTAACGCTTTCCTAACGTATACAATTGACATACCCGAAACATTGGGGAGTGAACCGGTAGGGAAGAGGCAGTGTGCTTAGCTGCAAATCATCCACATGACCAACCCCGGACAATGGGCCATTTAGCGTCAATACCGTAGACTTAAACAAAATATGGGATAGTTCTTTAATTTTACCAAAAGTAAAACTAGGCATTAATCCCCTATGACTGAGCGCAATACATGCATTATGAAGTATAATGACGCTTATCATACACAACCTACGGCCAACCTAGGTTGGTCTGAGTAATGAGACGTTTCATTTTTTAAAGAAATAAATAAAGGCAATGTTTCTGTCTTTAATTTTTGTCTCTTGAATTTCTAAAAGAATGGGAGGCCAATAATTCTTATCCGTGAAATATATAAAAAAAGCGCCATATAATTCAAGAAGGTACCACCCATTCCCTTGCGACTTTGTTTTGTTGTGTTTATTTTAGTTGCCAAGAAGCGGACCATATAAGTAGCAGCACATTCCTGCCCGCTGATTCAGAACACGTTGTGTGCACGCGTGCCGCTGTGGTCAGCCTGCCTTCCCGCTGTAGGACCTAAAGTAAGTAGCTGTCCTTTAATTTACTATGGTTACAAATACAGTTCTCTTAAGGGATTGATTGAGAGTATTATTACCTCTTACCCTTGTCCTGTGGAGTACAACAATTGTTGTTCTGCACATACAGTGCCATCTATAGAGCACTTAGGGGTTAGGGGTATTTCTCGTGCAACGCATCACACCACAGCGAAACGCAACGATTGTGTAAGTAACTATGCCACTGCAGGGCAAAAAAATGGGGGTTTATGATCTAATAAAGACATGAAATTATTGAAAAATATTGTGCCTGGAATGCCAGCAGGACAAGGGTATAACCAGAAGTGTGTCGAGTATTTCGGAGTTAATATATGTGCTTATCATTTATAGTGTTAGATTTTTTTCCTTTCCTTTAAGTCGTTAAGTCGCATTTTTTTTTATTGTATGACAATAATATCGACCTTTGGTGACAGTAGGAATAATGACAGAGGTAGGGTTAAAACAGGCTCATGAATAATTAATATCTAGCCCCCAAGGCATAACTGCATTCTTTTCGCAGTCACCCGGGTCATACATTTCGCAATGTTAAATCAAACGCATTTGTCAATTCTTGAATATTGACTTATTGTGTACTATAAATACTTAAAGTACTGTAAACGAAATGTCTGATATAACCAACGAGGTTTTAAATTAAATATTTGATTTAACCTTCTTGCCTTTTCATGATATAACAGATTCTATAACACTTCTTGAGCACTCCATAGTTACTAATATTTAAAGGATAGCGGTTAAATGTGGTTGTATGTGTAAGTGTACTTCCACCATTACACTTGTAAACAGCAATTTATTAGGGTTCAAGACATTTCATTTCCTTTTTTATCTCCATGAAAAATGTAGGTATTGTTTCAGGCGTGTCTTTCCGCGCGCGCGTGTGTTTGTGTTTCCACACATTTGTAGTTAGCATGAATTCAGAATAGAATGCCTTTATGGATTGTGATTATTTTTTGTATGTTGGTAGGTCGTGGGAGACAAAAGCTAAGGTCAAATATCAGCCTCCAGGCGTCTGACCTTGGTACTGCAGCAGAACTTCCGTTTTTTCTATCTTTTATCCTAAACATATGCTATGATCTTGTATATTTGGAGACAGATAGCTTTTTCCGCCAGGAATAAGTGGTGTGGGTATACCCCCTATCAGCTTGTTCTGGAACTGCAGGGGAGTTACTGGCGAATCTTTTATAGCTGATGAGTCCAGAAAGGAACAACGCATTTTCATCATTTTTTGTCTGTAGGTAGCTTATAGCGGATGTACAAAATTAAATGCAAATTATGCAAATAAAGACTTAATTTTTCATGATTACAGAGGAACTTATGTAATTAAAATGCTTTACAAAATAGCACTTTTATACATGAAATGTTTGTTATATACGGCTGGCGGAACATCAACAGATACTAATTATGCAGCTAATTTAGACCTTGTGACAACTGTAACTTACTCAAACGTTAGAACCACTATGCATATATTATGTTAACATATTGGTCATTTGAATAGTTAATGAAGACATGCAAAATGATATGAATTTTACAAGGGGTATAATGCTCCGATTTCTTTTTTTTTTGTCGTAACTGTTTTCTGTTTTCTTGTGTATCTCATCACTTTGATGTCTAACCTTCCTCACCTTCCTCACCGTATCTGTTAGAATGGGGCAAAGTTGCTCGAGACCACTGCCGACCCTCCCGACAACCGTTGGCGCTCGGTTTTCTGACCATCGATTCAAGTTTGAAAACCTCGTCTTTGAAGGGGGAGGAGCAAAAGGCATTGCATACATCGGAGTATGTAAGGTGAGGAAAAGTATAGTTTTTAAATTCAGTACACCAATTACAAAATCATTCATTCATTAATTCATTCATTTATTCATCTATTTTATTTTACCAGAGTAGTACGCTCAGGTCTACTGACCTGGTTTTCAGGTATCCATGGGGTTACAGATGTAAAATACACAATGTACATGGGAAAACACACAATAAGAACATACATGATTATTTCAACTCAACATACGAACAATCGTAAAAACATTTGCTATTCAAGTCCTACTCACAGAGAGTCTTTGAAAGATGTTAAGTTGAGAGCTGTCTTTGCTCCCTGGAAAGTTGGTTCCACGGAACCGGGCCCTGGTACTGCATCATATTATGTTGGAATTGTGTGGACCACAAGATCTGTTTTACATATAGGGTACCGACGTAACAGGTTCCTAACAGGCCGCCCATTGCAGAACTCGAGGGGAAAATTGCGTCGGAAGCCGAGTTCTCAAATTATTTCGGTACTTGGCGTCTTGTGCTAATGTCGGCGTACAGTGCAGAATTGTAGGCCAAGTCTATGCCTATAAAATGTGAGGAAGAGGCCGAGCAGTCCTGTCTTGCTGATCATTTTGTTGTCACGATTTTTTACTTCCTGGGCGCTATGATCTAGAAAATATTAGTGTTAAAGTTCATAGACGGCATCTCGATACCCTTTTTAAAGGCAAGGTTTGGTTTGCCGATTCGGCGTTTCCAGTGCTGAAGTCACCGACACTGGATACCAAGTGTTGATGTAAATTTGCACCAGATATAAAGGACGGAATTCGGTTTACCTTTGTACACCGAGTGCTGAGAAAGAAACCTGTTGCTTAGGTACTTTTGTGATAGAGTGTATGTTAGTTTTTTTTTTATTAATGGCAAACCAAAAAGGAACAAAACATAAACGTCAAGTAAAAAGACAAGAAAATAAGAAGCCACTACCTAACATGAATTTCCTGTCATGTCGCCTATAAAACAAGGTGTCAACACCTCTCTACAACCAGCTAAAATATATAGGTTATGTCACGGATGGTAAATAGTTGCTTAAGCCTTTTTTGTGTTATAAGCTTGTTCGAGCATTTTCTTTGCAACACCCCCTCCCCCCCCCCCCACAAGGCTATTTTAGATGTTTCTGGTATAACAAAAACGTACTAAGAAATGACAGTAATTGTACTTATTAGATCAATGTCATTATGGAGAATATTTAGTTCAGCTGTAATGAAATCAATTTGGATGCCTTTACAATGCACATGCTAGCATAGAATCTTAGACAGATGTTCATGGTATCGTGTTCGGCTTCAGGTCCTGGAAGATGCTGGGATCCTGCCTCAGATCACGCGGTTCGCCGGAACCAGCGCAGGCGCAATCACCGCCGCCCTCCTCGCCATCGGGTTAACGCCACAGGAGATGCTGGAAGAACTGAGCTCTAAAAACCTGCTGGAAGTTGTGTTAGGTGAGTGGTACCATAAAGTTAGTTGACTGTCATGAGTGCAGCGTTCGTGTGTGTTTTTGTGTTTGTGTGTTAGTGTCTATTGTTTGTGTGTGTCTATGAGTGTGTGTGTGTGTTTGTGTGTTTGTGTATGTTTGTTAGTGTCTATGAGTGTGTGTGTGTGTGTGTGTGTGTGTGAGTGTGTATTTGTGTGTGTGTTAGTGTCTATGAGTGTGTGTGTGTGTGTGTGTGTGAATCACCTTTGGTGGGTTATCTAGTAAAGGTATTTGGTAATCAAATCGTCCAGCTTGATGCTTTACATGGAGGTAGCCATTAGGTCTGAGATAAACAAATATAGTTTAAATATAGACAATACAAGTCTACACAGTGGTATCTTCATCCCTATATATAGACAATACAAGTCTACACAGTGGTATCTTCATCCCTATATATAGACAATACAAGTCTACACAGTGGTATCTTCATCCCTATATATAGACAATACAAGTCTACACAGTGGTATCTTCATCCCTATATATAGACAATACAAGTCTACACAGTGGTATCTTCATCCCTATATATAGACAATACAAGTCTACACAGTGGTATCCTCATCCCTATATACATTTTGAACTCCCAGGTTGGACCAAAGAACAATGTTAATAACGCTAAGCGAACAGGAGTTCTAAAACAAATGTAAAATACCACATGTAAGAAAGCGAGCTAGAGAGTGCGGGAGTAAGGGAGTGAGGGAGTAATGGAGGGAGGGAGGTTGCAGAGCTACTTTTCAACGCGTTTAATATACGTAGCTACATTGTAGAGTGTGTTATATAATGGCTTTTTGTGGAAAAACTCTCATTTATACAAATGTACAGATGCTCGTGGCAAAGCATTCCACTGGATTCCCGGTATGAAGAGGTTCATCCAAGTCGTGGATCTGGTCGCCAGGAAAGGCGCATGTCCGGGCAGGAAGTTCATGAAGTGGTTTGGAGAGATCCTAGAAAGGCACCTGAAGAAACGAGGCCTGCCATTGGATAAAGATGTGACCTTTGAACAGGTATGTTTACAAACTGCAAATATCGTGAATATGTGAAGTGAATAAAAATAAAGCATCGGAGTTTTATGATGTTTATGTGTATGTTTATTTAAAATTAGAATATACATTTTACGATTTTAGGACAGTAAAATTTGATATTATTTTGTTCAATTTCAATGCCGTATACCGCATATCGCTATATGTAACGCAATTAACGCGATGACAAAGAAACAGTTGCTTCTAGTTTTTTTTTTTGCATAAAAAAAAAGGCACAAGCGATTTCTAGAGTAGCTTGTTTTGGGGCTATTTCTACCTCTGTAGGTTTCAAATGAAGCCGAAAATATATATTAATATTTTTACTTGCTATCGTCCAATTTAATTGCTGGTCTTTTAGAGTGAAACAGTCTCTTGTGCTTTGAGCTATCACATTCCCTAATGTCTAATGCTGTCCGTGTCTGAACAGTATTCACTTCTATGTTCCCACATAGATCTACCACGTCCTCGGGGTAGAACTGTGCATCGTGGCGTACAACGTCAACTACGACGTGGAATCATATTTCCACGTAAAAACCACTCCTATTTTGAGGGTGCGGGAAGCTGTGCGAATGTCCATGTCCATCCCAGGTATGTAGCACTAACATAATAGATTGTGCAAAAGAACGGTTAAAAAAGCCCTGGTTAAAGTACACTCAGATACAGGTATAGACCGTGCGCTTTCTTGTTGTATAGATGAAGAAAAATTACTTTTCTTGAATGTACAATGTATAATCTATGTTATTCACACAAATTATTGGTAAGCATAGGCAAATTATTTGTAGGCAAATTTTAATGTTAAAAAGGAAAATTACCTTGCAATAGCGCGCCTTTTCCGTTTCCTTGCTGGCCATTACGTCATGTCGGTCCCTCGTTTTTAACGCTACTCTATGAATTGATTTCAATTTTTATTAAAATGACTGATCATATTAATATTGCGTTTATGAAGCTTTGTCCTTAGAATGTTAAAAGGATGGTTTACTATCAATAAGTCGGGACTAATAGAGAATGTATGTAAATTGATATAATACTTTCAGGGAATTGAGGTAAATTGGTATTACATTTTGGTGTCAGTAGGTGTATACTCAAACGCTTTTAGTTTCTGAATCAATAACTTCCAAACACTTGCAAAATGTTAATGTTCAATGTATAAATGAATCTAATGTTCTATGTGTGTTGACTTTGTTGTAGTTGCCTTTCAACCATACCAACTGGATCGGCTCTTTACCTTCATCGACGGTGGACTTTCAGCCAATTTCCCACTTTATGCATTTGACGGTACGTCATACTAGACATTACCTATTCCATATTATTGCTAAAATTATCGTGAAATATATAGTGTGAATAGCATAATATTTTTTACGTAAGGCTCTGGATCCTTAAATCCCCTGTCACACATTCACAGGGTTTCCGACTGGGAAGTTTATGGAAAAGTCAGTGATTTGGGTTCTAACAAAAATTTGCTGGGTTTTATATTAAATAATACTTCCTTTCTAACATTGATAACACCTTATATAATTGAATATAAGTAATAACATCTAATATCCATAATATATGCTAATTAGATGATGTCATCGATCAAAATCCAAGCACTGTTTAGGGGTAACTATTTATACTATTCTAAGACATTGTGCCTTTTGTATTATTAAAAACTTGTTTTGCATTCTGCAACGTGTATTTTACTTTCTCTATTTCTGTATTCGTTGAATAGGTTGGTACCTTTCAATGGACAAGTCTTTGACTTTCCACCGCCATCTCCAGAGTATGGGTGATCTCAGCATCCACCAGCTCTTCTACCCGGAGTACAGGAAGGATCGTTTCAAATCCCCAGAATCTGGATCTGACGAATTCTTCAAAACACTGGGAGCCCTGGTCGTAAGTTATTATAATTCTTAAACATTACAACAAACTTTGTGGGGTCGCGTAGAATAACGGCAGTGTGCTAGACTCGGAACCAAGAGGTCCCGGGTTCGAGTCCTGACACGCCACCGCGTACTGATTTTGTGCCCTTGGGAAATTCACTTTACACGACTTTCCTCACTTTGCTCAGGTGAAAATGAGTATTGTATTGTCTAGTGTGTTGGCGATGTCATTAATATAAATTGGAAAAAACTTGAGTATGTCCCCTCCACGTCTTGTGATCACATGCTGGAATACAAAAAAAAAAAACAACTTTACAAGCATCATATTGTTCATGTGAGTTTGAGCTAATCGTACTTGTTATGTCAGCATATCGTACAGTGCCTTGGGGAATCATCCTGACTCGTGAATTGCTTTTAGTAAATTAAAGTTTACAATAATTGAAGCAGTTTTTAAGATGTATCATGTAACATTTTGGTGCCGAAATTTAAAATATTTCATTTAACAATGTTCGTGATGTAATGACCCTAATAATTTTTTTTTCTACAATCAGTTTTCCAGTAATAACCGAGAGGTGCACCAGTATCTGTTTGAGAGGCGTCTGCAGAAGTTACCGGAAGTCAACCCTGAGTTTCACAACCAGAGACCCCCCACCAAAAAGGCGAGGTAGTTCATCTCATTATCTACAAATGAATGAAATCAGTAATCTTCATTTATGTATATTAGTAGTTCACTATGATACAGATGCATTACAATGTGGCACATTCATGAAAAAATACTAATGGCCGATTGCCTTAACTGATGTTTCAAAGGCTTCAATAAAGTTATCTCATACGCCACTCCGACTCATAGCATATAGTTCTTCTCCTGTGTTTTTTGCTCTATTCTTTTTGTTCGATAAACGAGCAGTTATAGGATTTTAGCTTCATAAAATGATGTAGCAAATGATAACAGTAAGAGTTAGTTGCAATCACCATGATGGCTGGATACTTTTTGCTAAACTATATTATGCGATACTAATATTTTGACATTTTTGTTTACACAGAAAATACGCTGAAGGATTAAGGGAGAAGAAGGATTTAACCGAAATGGGAAAAGAATCTCTCGCGAGGCAAATGCAGCAGTTAGGGACAATCATCCAGGTCATTTTCGGTAAGGACGAAACGGATGGATGGTTTGCCGATACTGAACAACCGGTAAGTGAATCAGTTAATAGATATTGTATGTTAAAAATAGGGGGGAAATGAAACGCACTTTATTGGATAAAAAATGATTTATTTTATAATAACCATCCCAATTCTTAACGCTCGCAAATTTGCGGGCCTTAGAAGTAGCATTGGTAATAATGTTTAATGCTCATTTGTACTGTTTCGAAATATTTAGCCAATAATGAATTAGTCCTAGGCCATTGATTGTCAATGGCCATTGTTTATAATCTCTCGCTATAATGCCCGATAAGAATGTAACAAACGTACACACATACCAACATACAACCAGGGGCGCGCACACACACATATGCACAAACACATACACAAGCACACATAGGCACACACACAAGCACACACACACACACACACACACACACACACACACACACACACACACACACACACACACACACGCAAGCACACAAAAAACAAACACAATTAAATACACACACACAAGCACACACACACACAAAAGGATGTGCACAAAACTGTGTTTTTGTTATTACAGGAAAGGACGACTCAGAAAACATTATCAGGAACCGGCAATCACATGACTACAGAGGAAGCAAGGAGGCTTTTCTATAAGGTAAATATAGATCTGCCCTTTATGTTATTGGTTTCATGAATGACATTACCGCGCACATGTATGTACATGTATTTTCGCCTGATTCTTTGGGGGAGAAACAAGAAATAATTTTGCCGTATAATGGTGATCGACATGCCTAAAATATCTAAAGATGTCTTTTGCAATACTGGAATGTGGATGGCGGAATGTGAAGACAGTAGACAACAAACCTTGATACAATAGTTAAAGAGTTTGACTTGTTCCAACACAAGAAGGAAGCTCACCATAAATTTTCGGCTGATCCTGTCAACCTTCGTCAGATTTGTGATGCAGTCGCTGACTTTCCGGAAGTCGGAAACGTGATGACGTCAGGAGTGCATCAAAAATGGCGGGAAGACGGCATCATTTTTGATGCACTCCTGACGTCATCACGTTTCCGACTTCCGGAAAGTCAGCGACTGCATCACAAGTCTGACGAAGGTTGACAGGATCAGCCGAAAATTTATGGTGAGCTTCCTTCTTGTGTTGGAACAAGTCAAACTCTTTAACTATGGATTCTACTAACACAGATGAGCTTTCATTCGAACTCGATACAATGTTTTCTCTTTAAATTTGATGCAGTGATGTATTTCATTCCTTTTATATGTAATGGTTTCTGTGTATGTGGTGTTCTTACTTAATGTAAACCAGCTATACATTGATTGAAAATGTTTAGTGAGAACTGTTTTGGTAACAAATTGATTTTGTAATTATCAGTTGTAAAATAAGTACTTAGTAAAAACAGTGATTGTACCTTGGAAACCAAAATCCACAACTAATAGTCCTAAATAGAACACTGGTTATACATGGTCCAATAGCAGAAGACATTGGAAGATCCCAGTGCTGCATGGGGGTATCGTGGTAAAGCCATTTGCTGCATTTGCTCCCGAGCAAATGTCGGCCTTTCTAGCTATTTTTCTGCCTGATATATCATTTTGCTGCAAGTGTGTGTTCTAAACAATGATTTATACGTAATTTTCATCACAGACAATTAATGAGAGAGATGTCAAGAGACTGCAGGTGCGTACCAAAGAAGAAGCCTTCAAGATGCTGCTTCTAAATGAGAAAGGAGAGGTAAGACATTTGGATTTAAGTAGCACAGTTTTAAAGTGACTGTTCCATACGATGTACTGTCACGTTCTAACTGACGATGATGCTAAATGTAGGAACACATTTCTAATTGGTCTTCAGTTTTTTTTTTTTGTCTTTATATTTTTATCATAAAGTGATACGGGGCTCTCGTAACGTCAAACATTTACTGCCAGAACGGAAGTATGATCAGTTTGTTTGGCGCCAGTTAATGCTTGGTTTGTATTTTTGGGTTCCAAAGTAAATCGGTGATTAGGTTTTCTTAATTGACAGGGTTTTGATCCAGTAGATGTCAATTTTAAGAAAGCATTCGCTAGTAATGTATAAAAGATAAACCGTAGTGTAATGCCGGATTTAGTTTCATTTTTCTACTGTATTAACATTTTAAGATGTATTCCATTAACAATGTATATATATTTCCAGGTTTTATTACATTTTGCATATATATATTTGATGGAATGATATGTTAAGTAAATTTGTACTAATATGTTTGTTAAAATTGTAATAACAACTTTCTATTCATATCTTCAGCTTACCGACAACAAGATCAAAAACCTCTACCAGAACTTCTTGCCTCTCCAAAACGCCAAGATGGAAATTCTTGGTGAAAGACCAGTGTCCACTGCTGGACAGTACTACGGAACCTTGATGGACTTTGTCGGAAGCAAGAACCAACTCACGGTAAGCCCTTGTATCTAGAACTCTTTCAGAACTCTTTGCTCTCTGCAGAACCATGTTCCGATACGGTATCTAGGGACTAGGTAGCTAGGTATTCAGAGATATGCCTATTGCAAATATACGTTTTTGGATACGAGGATTCTATCCAGAATTATGCGCTTTGGTATGGTTCTGGAGAGTCCATATGTATCCATTACCGTGCCTGGGGCAAATCTTGCAGTACTTTTTAACGATACGCGGAGACTATTAAGAACGGTGCCTAAACTATCCCTAGCACACAATCACTGCTCGTGTAAATATTAAGGCATGCTTAGGACATTTTTGTAACAAAATATGTAGTTTTAATGTATGTCGAAGATTCGATTTGACTATTTATAACCTGACTTAAAAACCTCCTATGGCAAAAAATTGTAAATGATAAGAATTTAATAAAACATTTATATATATATAACGTTATACGGCAAAGAAACTTAGCCAAGTAAGTCACTTGAAAAGGAATCTATTGCATGTATTTATAACAAATATCACGCAGTGGGTGGAGATGGTGGAATAGGTGTTTAGGAACACTTTTATAATAAAAGATTAAAGATCTATGCAGTATCGTTACTTTTGCAATCCTGGTATAATACGAAGAACACAGAATCTTCGGCAAGTCGAAGGCGGTCGCCCATGGAAAAGAAGAACACACATATCTAATTTACAACATATGGAAATCTTTTGAAATAAAATCGAATTAAAGTTTATTTCCACTATTAGCATTTCTGTCCTGAAGCCTAGGACGAATACAAGACACATCCAACTTTCAAATGCATCAGCAAAGTATTGTATATTATCAAAACTATGGAATCTGTTCTCCATGTTAATCTTTATGTTTAACCCATCAGGAAGAAGATGTCGGACGATGCATCGGTGTAGATGTTGATTATCTCTCCACCATGGACTTCGACATGGAACCGGCGGATATGGAGTTTCTCATGAAGGTCTTTATCTTTACCTATACTATAAACATTTTTTTTTATTTCCTTTAATCTTTTAATTGGCACGGAAAGGCATGGTATACCTTCCTTAAGCGACGGTCACAACCCGCCGTACGTGTTTTTTTTCGTACGTTTTTTGGGAGGCTACGTCCGCTACGGTTTTTATGAAAACGTAGGGAAGGAGTGGCGTCTACGCACGTCACTCGCACGTCACTCGCACGGTTGCACAAAGTGTAAGAGTGTGGTCTGCACGCCACGTCTGGTCGTAAGCGGTTGAGTGCATCGTACGTTGCGCAAGTGGTAAGTGAGTTGTACGTTCTTACAACGTACGATCTCCGAGCGATTGCAACTTAACCGTAAGAAGGCCGTACTCACACGTGCTTCTTCCGCACGACACGTACGGGGCACGCACGTCACTCGTACTCGCACGCACGGGTGGTGAATCCGCAGACCGCACGTAGAAAATGTTTTACATGCACTTAAAGTTCTACGGCGTGTCTGCGTGCTCCCAAATCCGAAGGATTCCGTACAGAGGTGGTACTCACCACGCACGGATGCCCTACGTTTGCCCACGTTTTTGCACGTAAACAGCACGCAGAAGCACGTACGGCGGGAGGTCAGAAAGCAGTATATATTATCGTAGGTCTATGCCCATTACATATGCTAAAACAACTGAAAATAGACAACACGAAAACAGTTCAGAGGCTGATAAGAACACTATATTCTAGAAACTGATTTTTTTGCATTCTATTTGTAAACGTAAAATCGCTTCCCCTTTGTTCGCTTTTTTGTTGTTTAATCACTGTTAGTTATCGACATTTTGTATAATCTGTGTTTTACTCTCAGTTTTATATGTAAAATGGTAAGGAATAACGCATGAATTAGTACACGTTCATACATATGAGGTACCTTGATAATATATTGGTTTTATTGTAAAAGCAAGCACATATTCAAGCTACATATTTTTTCGTAATGTATGTTTTTTTTTCTTTCTTAACAGCAAGGTGTCGCTGCTGCAACAACCTTCCTGTGTGAGTACATCGACAAGCAGACCGGATCAGCGGCATCAAGGCGGACTCCGATATTTCTTGTTGCTGAACGTTAGATTCTACAGAAACGTAACAACGAGATGATAAATAATCTGAAAATTGATGTGTTGAAATGTGTTAAGTATGTTAAGTATTTTCTCAGAATTTTTATGAATAATTTTGAAAAAAAAAAGAAATAGTGTAACATTACATTACTGTTGTTGAGTTTTAATTGATTATTAGTAATATGTATTAATACAGTTTGCAGTTACTGGTTTTTATTGTAGTAAAGCATGTCTCAATTTATTCGCATTTGACAGTTTTAATTTCATTTAACAAAGAAAGAAAAGCAAATATTTCCACAACACGGCCCTTTATTTACATGTTAAAAAATTCACCCTATGACATTACAGCAAGCCGTATATGTATACATGTTTGCATATATGTTAGTATGTCTGTGTACACCATGTATAGCTAAATGACGTAGATGGTAATTTTGCCTTATATTTAGTGAAATGGTAGGGTCTCGAAGAGGAAAGTTGAGTTCGATAACTGTCGGCCTAGCGAGTTAAGTTTTAAAACGCGCAACTTTTTAACAGCTTATCGTTATCAAAAAAGTACCACTTGTTTTTACAATTGTGTATAGTAATAGTGGAAAAGGAAATTGATCTAGTTGTAGACAACGGAAGCTTATTCTGTTTTTCTGTTGTAGAAGTTCTGCAAAAACTACATAGGTGTGTACCGTACTTAATCATTAAGCTACACTACTCGTAACCTCCTTCCGAGATTTGTGACTTTGCAGAATTTTCGGGGGATTTTTACACGGGCAACGTGGAGAGGGTTTTGCCGCGGAGGGAGTATTGTTTGGACAGCATAACTCTCTCGGCGGCGCCGGCAAAACTCCCTCTTCGTTTCCCGTGTAAAGATAGCCTATTAACCAGCTTTCCGAAAATTAACGCCACCGTCGCAGAGGTATGCGAATGAGGCTATGACCACACCGACCTTACTGTGTACTTTATCATGCTCTTCGTGTCTAGTCATTTGTTCAACGTTCCGAATAGAATTACAATCATCCGAGATCTTCATGGTGATAAGGATGCTGAGTCTCTCGCCAAAGACAGAGCAGAGTGGAGAAGGCTTGCTGCCCAATGTGCCTTGCACGGGAGGAACTAAGTCTAAGTAAGTAAGAGATCTTCATAAGTTATGCTGGCCTTACGGAAGCAATACCTCCAATTTTACTGAGGGACATTTATACGCCAAATTTTCATGCATGTAACTAACGCGGTATCGCGCACAACTGAAAGGGATACGGCCTCAGCGTTATCGTAAAGTAACCGTCAGTGTTTGGAGGAGGAGCGCCCTCTTGCGGCTTGAAGGTGAAGGACTGCAGCAGGGTCGAGAAGAACAGGAACAGCTCCATCCTGGCTAGCTGCTCCCCAAGGCACACACGCCGGCCTGGAAATAAAGAATGCTAAGAAGTAAGATCAACTGGTGGTCAAAAAAGAATATCATCATTCCTGTGATTCCGATGATAATACCAGCGCGAATAAAGTCTGAATATTACCTCCTGAAAAAGGCATGAAGGACTCAGGATTGTTGATGACGTTTCCTTCCGCGTCCAGAAACCTTCCGGGGTCAAACCGGTCCGGATCAGGCCAGTAGGCGGGGTCCATGTGGAGGGAATACAGGTTAGGTAGTACCTGGATCAAAGAGGAAACGAAAAGTTCGTGAATAATCTTATCTTGTAGGTTCTCTCTCTCTGTCTGTCTGTCTCTCTCTCTCTCTGTGTGTGTGTGTGTGTGTGTGTTTGTCTCGTCGTATCATAATATAATGAGGGGCCTGGTCATTTCCCATAACTACCTGGTCATTTCTATAACCACCTCGTTTCACTTATCGATACAATTTATTGAAATGTTACAGGAAATGGAGAGGCCTTTATGATACCATATTCACCTCAGAGCGGGTTTTTAGACCTTGACTGTGGTACATGTCAAACCCGACATACCTGGGTTCCTTTAGGAATGTCAAACCCCTGAACCGTGACGTATTGCGTGGTCATGTGAGGAACTGCGAAGGGAACAAGAGTGCGGATCCTCATGACCTCCAGCAGACATGCGTTCACGTAGGGCAGCTGGGAACGGTGGGACAGGGTGGGCAGACCCTCACCAACAACGGCAGCAAGCTCCTGCTGCACCTGTCACGACAAATACGGTTGATTACTTAGATTATGTTCCATTTCCCACTAGGATAAGATTCTCCGAATCAAGCCGAATAGATAGCTAACAAAATAGATCCGCTCAGCGTAACCACAGTGGGAACGCTCAAATCCAGTTCGATTTGGTTAGGTTTTGTTCTTGAACCCTCCATCTCAGAGCAGAAACAACATGGTAGTTCTGGAGATGAATAGGCAATGTGTACCTTGTATTGGACGTCTGGGTTTACTGTCATGTAGAGCAGACTCCACCGCAGGGTGGTTGTTGTTGTGTCTATCCCCGCTATGAAGAGGTTCTGAGTCATGTACAAGACGTTCTCCTCTGTCAGACCGTCCACCTTCTCCTGCAGTTCCAGCTCCAGCAGACAAAGGTCGAGGAAGTCTCGCGGATTCTCGCGATCAAGGTTCTCACGATGACGGGCTATCTCCTCCCAAAAAACTCGATGCATCTTGGAGTTTTGTTTCAGCACTTCCTTATAGATTTTGTTTACTAGGGAAAAGAGTATACGAAAAAAATACTGTCAGATCATCTTATACGACTGTATTCAACGATAAAGCATTGTCATTTTGTTCGATTTGAAAATCAGCTAAAAAGACCCACATTTCTTCACGAGCAACTACAGCATATGTTATTATACCATATCTTTCTCCCCATTACAAAATGTCAGGTCATTTGGTCGTAATATTACGTTTGTTTAAATGAGTTACTTAATGTTACTCACTTCCAGGAACAAACCGTAACAAAGGGAAGAAGCTGATTATCTTTCCCGCTCCACCGCCCTCGTCGAGTTTCGCAAGCGCCTCCGAGAGCTCACGGAACGTTTCATCCCCGTAGTCATAGCGCTTCCCGAACGCCATGGAGCAGATGATGTTCGCCACACCGACCCTCAGATCGTTTGATACGTCAAAGGGCTGTCCCTCGTATTCTGTCATCTAAAGATAGGACGGCATGTATTTTTGTTCTTTAAATTAAAAGTTGTTGCAAACAGTTTTATCAGCAAGGACAGTAAAAGAAAACACGGAAAATAGCGAGAACAGTAGGCATGTAATAATTCAAAGACGTACTGTATTGTGACCCTTCTATACCCACAGACGCAGAGAGACACCGAGAGATAGATGGATAGATGGAGAGAGGGAGAGTAAGAGAGAGAGAGGAAGAGGGAGGGAGAGTAAGAGTGAGAGGGAGAGTGAAAGAGTGAGGGGGAGTAAGAGGGAGAGTGAGAGAGAGGGACAGTGAGAGAGACAGAGGAAGAGGGAGAGAGAGGGAGACTGAGAAAGAGGGTGAGTGAGAGAGAGGGAGAGTGTGAGAGAGAGGAAGAGTGAGAGAGGGAGGGGGAGAGTGTGAGAGGGAGAGTGAGAGTGAGAGAGAGAGAAAGAGAGAGAGCACCTCCAGATATCCCACATCCAGAGATCTCACATAAAAAGATCTGCCAAATTTTACTCTACAAATTTTACCCTGCCTTTGATCCAATCGGTACATTACCTTGTTGAGGAGACAGCTCACTTCCTCTCGAATGTTCTCCTCGATGCTGCCAGTTCCAACCTTCATGCCGAGGTGCTTTAACGCGGTGAGAGCAAACCTCTTTCTCTGTTTGAAGCCGGTTCCCCAACGGGCAGCAGTAATGTCTATAGATTTAAAAAAAACATCTTATTCCTATACCCATGCAGTCAATATAGCCTAAGAGACCATCTCTAAAACCCTGGCTCTGGCCACAACAATTATTTTTTTTTCCCTTTTTATCCATAGATATAAGGGACTTGCCTCAATAAACCTTTGCCTCAATTAACCTTGCCTAAGTTGAACACTTGTTCAATGCGATCGGACCTATACTTTTTGGGACCATACACGGCCCAATCGACGTGTGTTGAAAAAAAAATTATTTTGTGATAACCAGGATGAAATCAATTTTTAGAGGCATGGCAGTCTTTGTGCAATGTAAAATGGCGCAGGCCGGGTCACTTTGGGTCAGGGGGTCAGTCTATTGTAAAACGGGTATGGATTTTGTTGCATTTTCTTGTTCTCTGTCTTGTCTTTTCGTCATACAGACGCTATTTTTCCTAAGTAACATCTTATATTATCACTCATGTATAGCCCTGTATATGTCCGGGCTTAGGGTATCAGTCTCCCATGCACGCATCGCACCGCAGCGAAACGCACCGAATGCGGAAGTAATTACGCCACAGCAGTGCAAAGGCAGGCAAGGGTTTTTGACCTGATAAAGAGATAGAATAATTTGAAAACATTGTGTAAAAATGCCAGCGGTACAATGTAAACATGCTGACAGTTAGATATTGCGTAAAATGACACTTCACTCCACCAAAAATGGAAAATTATAAGAAAGAGGGTCTATAACTTACCTTTTCCAAAGCCGAAAATCGCACCAAAGTTTGGCGGCCTCGAGGCGAACAGCTCGGACCTGTCCACGAGCGCGTCCTTGACGGCAGTGTAGCCGTTCAGAACCACCACATCTTCCATCCCCATCCTGACGGTGAAGACGTCCCCGTACTGCCGCCTCCACGCCGTCAGCTTTAGGGGAGGTTCCCGGCCAAAGGCGAGGAGGTGCCCGAGAACAGGCACACGTCCTGCCGGGTAGGGGGGCAGGTTTCCGCGGCGCTTCAGGAGGTACGAGCCAGGAGAAAGGCCGTTCAGAAGACAAGAAACGTCTGCAGACTCAGACCGGGGATCTGCAGTATCTCCAGGACAGACTCAGGTATCCAGCTGTAGACTGCAGCAGCCATGTTTAAAGACAAGAATACAGTTATGCCAACCTGTGACTTTCTAGGGAGGGTCAAAGTCCAAAAGTTCACACAAACCGGCTGTTCAATGTCAGGTCACGATGGTCAGATTTGGGCCCAAAAGTCCCAATCCGCTACTATGGAGATCGAATC